CTCTCTCTTGGCACCTTGCCTCGCGTGTCTAGGAGGGAAACATTCCTGAGCTGTCCCCACCCTCCTCTCATTTGCCCGCTCCTGCCAGTGCCTAAGAGCCATCAACCCTGCAAGATCATGGGGCTCACTGCTGTCCAGGAAGGGCCGGGTCCCTAACACTTCCACCCAGCCACAAACAGCCCCAACAGCGGCCACACACCATGTCCCTCCCTCCCTCCCATCCTCACCTTCACGCTTCTTGCTGACCCTGTGGCCTCCCCTGTCTTTGCAGGCCTCCTCACGGGACCTAGGCCCGGATGACACCAGCTGGACCTCCGTCACATATACCCGGACCATCAGGCGCAGGCGTTGGTCAGTCACCCGGGTGAGTGTGGATGTGTGTCCATTCCTCCAAGGACACCTAGCCCACACATCACACTCACACTGGGCCGCGCTTGGACAAAGTCATGCAGGGCTGTCTCTGCCAGCCCCACAAAGCAATAGCTCCCACTGCAGACCCTGTACTGCCTTGGCAGGGACAAACCACTGCCAAACAGTCCATCACCCAACGTAATCCAGCTCCATGCCCCCTAGCCACACTTGCCAACCACTCTAACACTCACCACACGAGAAAGCGGCTGGCTGCCCACGTGTGCACCTAGGTAGCTCTTGGGCTTTGGCTGCATTGCCACATGTCCCCTCCTGCCTACTCCTGGGCTCACCCACCACCTCTCAGCCCTTGTGCCAGGGACCTAACAGCTTCTGCACCTTCGGTAGGTTTTCCCTGCCCATCCTCATGTGGGAGGCTTGCTTCGAGCAACTTAAAGGGCACACACACTATTGCAGGCTCCCAGTGTCGTGTGTGTGTGTGTGTGTGTGTGTGTGTGTGTGTGTGTGTGTGTGTGTGTGTGTGTGTGTATTCGAATTCGAGTTAGCCTGTGTGTATGGGAGCAGGAGTGCACGTGTGTGCTGGTGTGCAGGTGTATGTGTTGGAGAGAGAAAGAGACACAGACAAAGACAGAGAGACAGAGGGAGGGACAGAGACAGAGAGACAGAGGGAGGGACAGGGACAGGGACAGAGAAAAAACCCATGCCTGCTTTTCCCATGCCCTCCTAAGGCAGTGGGGTTTGTTCTGAGCTCCAGCTCTCCCCCAAGCCTCCAGCGGGGTTCTCCCGTCTTTTTTGAAAATCCAAGCAATTCTGTATCTCCCTAGACTGAAAACGGGCTGCTGGTCCTGAGCCTGGAGGAAACTTCTAGGAGCTGGCAAATAAGGATTACTTCTTCCCAGGGGCTTGTGGACCCAACACCTGGGCTTCTGCAGAGCTGCGGCTCCGTGGCCCCCATGGAAGCACTGTGCTCCAGGCAAGAGGCTGTGAGTGTGACCAGGTGAGCATCATCCTGCAAGGCTCTGGCTGCCATGGGCAAGCCACAGCTCATCGAGACTCTTTCCTGGGCAGGCGGGAGGGTGGGTATGTAGCAAGCACTGGAGGACCTTCACTGTGCTGTGGCCCCTTTGCCTTTTCCTCAGGTGCTCGGTGGCTGGCTGGGTGCTGCTGAGCCTTAGCCCCAGGCCAGATGGATGCCAATGTGGGCTGCAAAGGCCCATCGGGAGCTCTCCCAGAGAATGCTCTCTGATGCAGCTGTTGCCATTGATCAGCCCTGACCAGCCAAGGCCGGTGAGTCCCGGACTGGGCCCCTCATCCTTCCTCCTTGGGGGGCAGGCAGACAGTCTACACAGACCCAGAACACTCTCTCTAGGAGGCAATTCTGGCCACACCATCACCTCTCCTCCTGCAAGCGCTGGGACACACTGGCACACTCACTGGCCAGGCATCAGCCCTGCCGGTCCATGGGGCCCGCTGCTGTCCAGGAAGTGCCTAGTCCCTAAAGCTTCCATAAACAGCCATAAACAGCCCCAACATTGGCCATACACCATGTCCCTCTCTCCCTCCCACTTTCACCTTCATGCTTCTTGCTGGCCTCTTGCTGGCCATCCCTGTCTTTGCAGACCTGCATACAGGACATGATTCAGGACAACCGCAGCTGGACCTCCATCACATACAGCATCACTGTCAGGCCCTGCCCTTGTCAATCATGTGGATGCATGTCGGTTCCTCCAAGGACATCCAACCCACACAACACACTCACACTGGGCTGGGCTTGGACAATGTCACGTGTCACCCTCCAGCCCCAGCACTTCCTTGGTAGGGACACTGCTGCCAAACAGTTCAGCACCCAATGTAATCCAGGCCCCCATCTCCATGCCCGCTAGCCACACCACACCTACCCACAACTCTGACACTCACCACACGTGAAAGCGGCTCGCTGCCCACATGTGAACCTACGTAGCTCTTGGGCTTTGGCCCAACTGTCACATTTACCCTCCTGTCTGGTCCTGGGTTCACCCACTGCCTCTCAGCCCTTGTGCCAGGGACCTAACAGCTTCTGCACTTTCTCTGTGCTTTCACCATTCATCATCAGGCTGGAGGCTCACTTTCAGCAAACTCAAAGTGCTCACTTACAGCTGCAGGCTCCTGGTGTGAGTGAGTGAGTGAGTGAGTGAGTGAGTGAGTGAGTGAGTGTGCGTGTGTGTGTGTGTGTGTGTGTGTGTATGAGGATTCCAGCTAGACCAGCGGTGTGCGAGTGGGAGTACATGTGTGTGCTGGGTGTGGGTATATGTGTTCGAGAGACAGAGAAAGACAGAGAGAGAGAGAGACAGCGAGACAGAGACTGAGACTGAGACAGAGACAGAGAGACAGCGACAGAGACAGACAAACAGAGGTAGAGACAGAGAGAGAACACATGCCTGCCTTTCCCATGCCTTCCTACGGCAGGGAGTTTGTTCTGAGTTCTAGCCCACCCCCAAGCCTCGAGCAGGTTGATTACAGCTTCTTTGAAAAACCAAACAACTCTGCGTCTCCCCAGGCTGAAAACATTATGCCGGTCTGGAGCAGAGAGGATTTGTACAACCTATGGCAAATGTGCATGATGATACCGTCTTTGCAGGGGATTCAATACCGGGCACCGGCCCCTCTGCACAGACGTGGGTCTTCGGGACCAAGGGAGGCACTGTGCTCCAGTCAAGAGGCCCTGCCTGTGACCAGGTGAGCCTCATCCTGCAAGGCACTGGCTGCCACGGGCAAGCCACAGCTCATCCAGGCTCTGACCCGGGCAGCTGGGAGGGTGGGTGTGTAGCAAGAACTGCCAGGACCCTCCGCCTGCTGTGGCCTCTTTGACTGCCGTTTCCTCCAGGTGCTTGGTGGCTGACTGTCACCCCTACCTCGGTTTGCTGAGCCGGAACTGGTTCCACAGCCACAGTCCGTATAGACGGAAGGATCGGCTCCTGATGCCCATAGGGAGCTGTACCACAGGGTGCTCGTGCATGCAGCTGTCGCTGCCATTGCGTAGCCCTGTGGTGGTTCGCCCTGACCAGCCAAGGCCTGTGAGTCACCTACTGTGCCCTCTCCCTTCTTCCCCAGGGGCAGGCGGGAGGACTCCCCAGACCCGGAACCCTCTCTCTAGACTCGGAGGCAATCCTGGCCTCACCATCACCTCTCCTCCTACAAACCTTGTGGCACACTTACTCACTAACTGCCCAACCAGCAGCCCTGCAAGGCGTGGGGCTTGGTGCTGTCTGGGGAGATGCTAGGGCCCAAAGTTTCCAGGGGGCCACACCCAGCCTCAACAGTGGCCACTTGTCATGCCCTTGTCTTCCTCCCTGCCTCCCTTCTTTCCCTCCTTAAGCTTCTTGCTGGCCTCCTGACCCTTCTTCCTCTCTTTTCAGGCCTGCACCACATTGACTACATTGCCCCACCACATGGTGGCAAGGCCTGCCTTCACCTGGACATATGCATCTCTCCTATGGAGATGCCAACTCCCAACCTCCCATTCTGGTGGCATCATCTGGAGGCCACTGATGCAGAGGCTGCAGGTGAGGGACACTGGCCCCGGAGCTGTTCCTTCCAAGGAAGGGATAGCCAGTCCTACTTACACCCATGAGCCCAGGTGCCTGAGCGAGTGTGCATGCATGCAAGTGCACTCCCACAGTCACATGCAACTCAGGCTTGTACAAGGGCACAGGAGAGTGTGTTGCATATGGGGGCCAGATCTGGAGCACAGTGTGTGTGTGTGGACAGGAGGGCTGACATCTGGGAAAGACCCAGAACCATCAGTTGTTGGATGCCTTAGGGACCTCCATCCACCGTGGGCCGCCTCAGGGGGCAGAGCTCGGTCTGCAAGGCAGCAGGCAGGGCCGTGTCCCGACACCAACATGGGCTCTCTACCTGCTCTGCTCCTCTTGCAGCTGCGGGGCCAGCTCCAGCCCAGCTGTGCTAACATCTGCTGACTGCACTCCGCCAGTGCCACTGGCCAGACCAAAGCCAGCACGACCAATGCCTTCACCACAAACAAGCAGCCAAAGGCCTCTTCACACCACGCCACAACGAAGCCTTCACCTGGAGCAGCCCTTGCCACACCCCTACCTGCCCTGTTCATCACTAATCCTCTCCCTTCAGTACCTAGACCAGCTGTTTATCTACTCTTATTTATTAAAGTTTATTGAAAAATAATCAAAAGGCACACAATGTCCTCTCATGAAAGTGTGTTTTGCCTTATTTTTGTGTTTTTGCTCTTCCTGGGGCTTGAACTCAGGGCCTGGGCACTATTTTCCTGGGCATTTTTGCTCAAGGCTCGCACTGTACCACGTTTAGAGCTCCATTTTGTGGGGGTTTGGGTGGTTAACTAGAAATATGAGTCTCAGAGACTTTTCTTCCTGGTTGAACTTTGAATCATGATGCTCAGATCTCAGCTGCCTAAGTAGCTAGGCTATGCCTATACACATGAGCCATTGGTGCCTGACCCATTTTCTTTTTCCAAAAATTATTCCAGGTATGGTATCTTGATCTAGGCAAGACTCTGTTCTTCAAAACTGAGAAACGTAGGAGTAAGGAGTGCAAGAAACACCAGTGTACATGCCAGTGTACCTGCCTGTGTGGACACCAGGTGGACACCAGCTACTTACTCAGTGCCGCTGTCTACCATCTGGGTGAGGAGAGAGATGCCATCCAGGTTGATGAATTCCTGGGCGAACGTGAGATCCTGGGACAGGCTGGCCAAGTCCTTCAGGGCCTCCAGCTTGGCATCCATACTTGACGACTGGATGCGTTCATGGAGCTGCTGGGCATTCTGAGCCTTATGGGGGGTGGAGGTAGTATAAAAAAGACGACAGTGTTCAAAAGGAAAATTACAACATCACAGAAATGACAGCATCCCTGAAAAATAAAGGCCGGCATCCAGAAGCGGACAATGTGTGTGAGAATACCTGATAGCCTGCGTCTCTCACGGCCAGGTGTGAGAGTAAGGGCTAGCACACTGACCATCCATTTCACCTTCTGTTTCAAAGAAAAGCAAAGTGAGGTCAGAAGAACACTGAAGACCCAGAAACTGATCAGGGTGGGGGGGGGATAGGATAAGGGGTGAGGCAGATATTTACTTTTGAAGCCCAATCATTTATCTAGAAGTAACTAAAAGCTACTTGCTTTGTTAAGCAATCACATAAGTGCAGACCTCGTACCCATCTCTTCAGCCAATACTTTGAGTAATCACAGCCTACACATTATGTCTGAGAGCTTCATTCCCATTTTTCCCAAGTGTATATTTTTCCCATATGTATTTAAAGAATAAGACAGAAAATACTGAAAATTATTTTATTATAGAACTCACTATGATCTTAATGGCTGCACATACACTAGAACCCTATGTGGCTTTTTAAGACACAAGCCTAGGCCATCTCAAGGGTTTCCTGTGTCCAAAGCCTGGGTGAGGTCCCAGAAAGCATGCCCTTGAAGCATGTCTCTAATTATATGCAGAGGTCCAGGGCTCTAAATAATTTTGGTTTTTACATTTTTGTTTTGTTTGTTTTGGTGCCAGTCCTAGGGCATGAACTCAGAGTCCAGGCACTATCCCTGAGCTGCTTTGGCTCAAAGCTCATGTTCTATACCACTTGAGTCACAGCTCCACTTCTAGAGGCCAGGCACTGGTGGCTCACACCTATAATCCTAGCTACTTAGGAGACTGAAATCTGAGGATGGTGGTTTCAAAGCCAATCCAGGTAGGAAAGTCCATAAGACTCTTATCTCCAATTAACCACCAGAAAACTGGACATGGAGCTGTGGTTCAAAGTGGTAGAGCACTAGCTTTGGGGGGGGGGGGGGGGAAGCTCAGGGACAGCACCCAGGCCCAGAGTTTTAGCCCCATAATGGACCGAAGGGGGGGGGGGGGGAAGATAGTCTCATGGACTGTCCTGCCAGGGTTAGCTTCAAACTGTGACCTGTGATCCTCAGATCTCAGCCTCCTGAGTAGCTAGGATTATAGATAGGCTTGAGCCACCAGAACCTGGCTTCTAAATCACTTTGAATGTACCCTCTCTGTGTGAAGACTGGAAGAACCCCAGTTCTGTCTCCGAATCACTCCCTAGACTTCCCAGCTGGGGTACAATAAGTCCTGCCTGGTCTATTGTGCAAAGGACATTTTGTTGGCTCTTCTATGTATGTACCTTTCCAAAAGAACTTTTGCTAAGAAAAATGTCAATAAACAAAGAGGAAGCTAGGTAGACAGAATTTATACCTAATTCATTCTACTTCAATTGGAGACCGACCAACAGAAACACTTACTTAAAAGGAAACAAATACTTTAAAAGGGGAAAAAAATGCTTAAATGGAAATACCACCTCCACAGAATAGAAGCACAACTCAGCATGGCCACGTTACCTACGATTGTGTGTGTGTGTGTGTGTACCGGTGTATGCATGCTAGTGTCTTATCTCCCAGGAGGGGAACTCAGCTTGCTAGGTGCATGAACTTTAAATATTAGCACAGCTGAGCATTGGTGGCCCATGCCTGTAATCCTGAAGTAGCAAAATACCTTCTTCTGTGTTCTTCACAGTAATCTTTTCTTAAAAATGGATGGATAAATTCACTTTTAATTCATTTTTATTGTCTATGGGCACAGGTGGCTCACACCTGTAATCCTCACTACTCAGAAGGCTGAGATCTGGAGATCACAGTTCTAAGCCAGCCTGGTCAGGAAAATCCATGAGACTCATCTCCAATAGCTAAACTGTGGTGCAAGTGGTAGAGCACTAGCCTTAAGCAAACGAGTGTTTAAGGAGAGTACCCAGGCCCTGAGGTCAAGCCCCAAGGTAAGCACAAAAAAAAAAAAAATAATAATGAATTAACCAGGTACCAACTGTTCATGCCTTTCATCCTAGCTATGCAGGTGACTGGGATCAGATGATCTCAGTTCAAAGCCAACCTGGGCAGGAAAGTCCATGAGACTTTTACCTCCAATTAATCACTAAAAAGTTGGACTTGGAGCTCTGGCTCAAGTGGTAGAAAACTAGCATTGAGTGAAAAGGCTAAGGGACAGCGCCCAGACCCTGAATTCAAGCCCCAAGAACCCCTCCACACACACACAAGTTACCATGTGTGACCAATATTTTTTAGTTCTCAATTCAATTTTCAATTTTAAACAAAATTACAGAAAGTAATCTAGCAATTAATGACATTTTCAGATCCCAAATATTTTGTTGTGACATAATGCCCAATTCCAGACTCTGTGTCCATCCACAGAGCACAAGGCAGTGTTTCAAATGCAGAGTCTGGTGTGCTGTCTCAGACACTGTAACCCAAGGCCTGCACACTTGCAGGTCAAAGTCCACAACTGCCCCAGGTTTGGAAACATAAGCCAGTCTTGTCTTGTAGCGGCATCCTGCTTGCTATCTCTACCATCTTTCCATTAACAGAGCTGGGAATGTGAAGGATATTTTCCAAAATCCCTGCTCTGAGATGACAGGTCTCCACAGAGTTAAAATGCTGCTCTGGGGCCTGCTACATGCAACTTATCTCACAGCTTTGCTTTGTTTTCCTTCTTTGGTGTAGTTATTCCAGAACTTTCTGCCACTTAGCACTTGTATAACCCGACTGGAAATGGGAACAGGTGGAAAATTGTACTGAAAAACAGGTTGTGAATAAAAATGAACAAGCCGGGCGCTGGTGGCTCACGCCTGTAATCCTAGCTACTCAGGAGGCTGAGATCTGAGGATCACGGTTCAAAGCCAGCCCGGGCAGGAGAGACCGTGAGACGCCTATCTCCAATAAACCACCAGAAAACCGGAAGTGGCGCTGTAGCTCAAGTGGTAGAGCGCTCGCCTTGAGCTGAAGAGCTGAGGGACAGCACCCAGGCCCAGAGTTCAAGCCCCACGACCGACAAAAATAAATAACTAAATAAAATAAAAAATAAAATAAAAATGAACAAATGTAAAAAAATAAAAAATATAACGCCACCCTGGAGATGCTGTAAACACCACCCTCTCCTCCCTGACACTGAACCTCCTTTCTAAGAGCGACTGAATCCCCAGTGAGGGGAACCAATTCTTTCTTTGGCTTGGAGATGGCCAGAGAAAATGCTGAGCCTTTCTAAGAGGAAACAAAAGACACGGTGTGCACTTCCCTGCCTGGCAAGCAGATGAAGGACTTTGAGCAGGATAAATAAGAATGCAAAGCACAAATGAAATGCTCACCTCCAAGGGTCACATTTGTATTAATTCACATTAATTTCAGGAAGTCAGACAAAAATGACTCAACCCACAGGAAAAGGACAGCAAACTATCATTTTTGTGAAGCAGGGAAGCTGGCACCGGGCAATGGCTGCAGCAACCCAGTCATTCTGTCTACTGAGCCCATCCCTATGTTTAGGTTGGAGATGTCTTAGGATAAAATACTTACGTCTTGTATGTAAGTTTATCAGCTTTGGTGAGGGGAAAGGGAAGCACAGAAATGCTGGGACAGAGGGTGAACTAACTCAGCAGTGATAGTCACAAGACACTGTGTTGGAAATGAACTATAGAACGTGGGGAATCGGGGCGGGGGGCGGAGGAGGGGAAAAATGAAACAGAAAAAATGAGGGAGGGGGTGACACTGTCCAAAAAGAAATGTAATCAATGCCTGACTCATGTAACTCTAACTCCTCTGCACATCGCCTTACAATACAAATAAAAATTAAAAAATTAATAGGCCAATTTAAATGAAAGCAAAATACTTAGCAGTTTTTAAACCTCTCTAATGCCATTTTCAACAAGATGGATCTGTGGTAGTTATACTGCCCACAGTTTATTTCTAGCCAGATGCTTTCTCCTCCATTTTGAAATTTATTTTTAGCCTATTACATGGCTTGTGTGACAACTGGAAATGATAGATAGACAGTTTTCCTCAACTGTGGGGGTGGAAATAGTAATACTTGGTATATTTTATGCTGCTTGTGTTTTCTAGGAAAGCAAGGAAATGCAGTGTGGAACAATATGGCTCAAATATGCTAATGTTACTACCCCAACTAGACCAGGAAACAAGAAAGACCCATTCACTGCCAAGTGCCACAGGCACCTTGTTCAACAGCTTTCACGCGCAGATATGCATTGAGTTCTGATTAGCATCCATGAAACAGCCTAAATGGCCCAACATTTACTATTTTAAATTAATTTTTATCCATTTTTTCATCAATTTTCATCATCACTGACCAACACTAGGAAATATTTAAATTCAACCTGTCTTTGTCTTTCTCTCTGTCCTTCTCTTTCCCCCTCCTTCCCTTCTTCCCACCCACCTTTCTCCCCCCCACCCCTCCATAGACTTTAAATAAAGAAACAGCCTGTTTTTGGTTTGGCTTGCTTTGTTTCTCTGAATTTGCTCAGAGAAGATGATAAAAAAAAAATCTACATAGCCAAGTTATTCATCAGTACTGGAAGAGCTATTGAGATGGGCACCAAACTCCAATTCCATGATTCCCAATCCATTCTCTGTTCACAGTGGAATAGGTTCCTTCCTCCTCTGCCATGGGAAATAAACTGGAGAGACTTCCAATTAAACTAGACTCTGCCCATGAGGACATCCCAGGGACTTTCTGTTTTAGAGTACAGTCACTCTCAAAAAACAGCATTCTATAAGCACATACAGCAGACCCAGAGGGTAGGCAGCTTAAGATGAAATAACCAACTAAGATCAACTTACTGGAGATGTGGTTAATCGAAGGATAGTGACGTTTTTTATTTCATTGCGATTCTGGAAAAGAAAAGAAAAAAAATTGGGTGAATATTAGAGTAAGAAGAAGCTAGGAAGAGAACAAAACAAATATAGTCAAGCATCAACTCTACACAATAAACATACTTATGATTACATGATTCGCTCACAGAATCTTAACCTGGGCCCCAGATGTGTTCATGTTATATCAAGCTGTTGACAACACTCAGCACCAAGGAAGTAAATTTATTTTCACTTGCAAAAAGTAAGGATGCAGATCCCACAAGTAAAAAGAAGTCAATTTAAACACTAAACTCAGTGAATAGGACCCAGAAATTCCATTCCTATGTTTATAGCCAAGAGAACTGAAAACATATGCCCAAAGAACTGAAAACATATGCCATATAAAGAACATGTATATACATGTGTACAGAAACATTGTTCATTAACCATCTACAAGTAGACCCATGCCCATCTCTAAGAATAAGTGGCCATACAAAATGAGGCTTGTTCATCGATTCACTAGGAAGTGCAAAGCAAGAAGCATTGGTGGGTGCTATAGTATAGATGTCCCTTGAATGTATTACACTCAGTAAAAAAAGCCAAACATGAAAGAGCCCATGTTGTGTGGACCCACATACAGGAAATGTCCAGAAAAGACAAATCAATACATAAAAACAGGAAGTAGATGCATGACTGATAGGAAGGAGAAATGGGGAGCTACTGCTATTGGGTACAAGTTGTTGTTTTTTTTATAATGGGATGATGATAATGTTCTGAAATTAATTGTTTCTGGTTGCACAATTCCATAAATACATTTTCCACCAAAAAACAAAAAAAGTACTTTTTTATTTTTTGTCGGTTGTGGGGCTTGAACTCTGGGTCTGGGTGCTGTCTCTCAGCTTTTCAGCTCAAGGCGAGCTCTCTATCACTTGAGCCACAGCACCACTTCTGGTTTTCTGGTGGTTTATTGGAGATAAGAGTCTCAGGGACTTTCCTGCCCAGGCTGGTTTTGAACCATGATCCTCAGATCTCAGCCTTCCGAGTAGCTAGGATTAGAGGTGTGAGCCACCAGCGCCCGGCAAATAAAGTACACTTTAAAGGTATATTCTGGGGGCTTTGGAACATATCTCAATAAAGCTGTAATTTTTATTTCTTTATTGGAGGTACTCAGGGTTCATGCTTGCTAAGCAGGTGCTTTACCATGTGAGCTACACTGCCAGGTCCTTTCTATACTGCTCATTTCCAACATAGGGTCTTTTTTTTTTATAAGCCCAGAGCCCTAGGATGTATCTGGGATGGCAGACCTGCACATCTAGTGTGACCAGCAATGACACTGTCTTCCAGCAGAGAACTCACAGCTTGAACTGAAGGTTTTTGTTTGGAATAGCAGGACCCTAGCCTAAAAATAACCAGTGAAAACCAGGCTAGAGTCATGGTTCAGTGGTATTGCTGCCTAGCTAGCACAAGACCCCTGAGTTCCAATCCTAGTACCGCCAAAAAGAAGAAGAAGAGAAAAAGGAGGTGGTTCCGATTTTGTAGATTCTACACCAGAATCACAGCAGAGATACTGGGGTTGGAGCACTTGTCATCTTCTAGCTGCATAACACTGCCATAAGCAGCAGAAGCGGCCTCTGGCCTGGCCCTCCCCTTTGGAAAGTGGGTATAGCTGGGGCTTCCCCATCTCCATGTGAGGAGAAAAGTTCAAAGCAGTGCCTGGCACACTGCAAATACTCAGGGGTAAAAATAACTTTATTACTAAGCACAAACTAACATCCATTAGAAAAGTACAATGCTGTGACCTTGTATGACCACATTACAATCTCTGCTACCCTACAAAGAGCCACACATATTCACACACACACACACACACACACACACACACACACCTATCTCTTCTGTATGCAGAACAGCATGGCCAGAATGACATTCTGTAGAGCTGCTTTACATCAGAACCTGCCATTCTCAATTAATTTTACCCCATCCTCTTTGTCCCTTCTAGAGGTGCATTTGCTAATTTAGTCCTCCAAGCATTGTGCTCTGTGTGTGCGCGAGCACACATATCCACACATGGAACTCTGTGCATATGATTTTACTTATTTATTTTGCTTATTAGCCATCTTCCCTCAACCTCAGAATGTCACCTCTGTGAGCTGATAGTTTATCCCACTCCATTGTTATATCTATGGAGAATGGTGAACTAGTATAACCCAGTCAACATGCAATAAGCATTGGTAAATAAATGGCAAAGTCTGCACATCAGGCTATAGACAGACAGGACTAAGTTCTATCTTCTGGACACTCAATAAAGTAAGAGAAACTGTCGTGTAATCATTGCATCTGTACCATGAAGGGGTCAGCAAAAAGAAAAAGTGATCAGTATAAAAGAGAAAGTAATCAGTAATATACCAGGCCAGGTGTGTAATGAAGAGACGTGAAGGAGGAGAAAACATAGATCAAACGCTTTTAGTGCAGGCAGTATTCAAGGAAGTCTCTCCCCGGCCACACACAACACTTCCCAGAGAGAGAGGAAGAAGCACTACTACACAGGAAAGCCCAAATACATCATTATATAGCAATGGAATACTATTCACCCAAACAAAGAATGAAATTCTGCCATGCGGCACAACATAGATAGAACTGGAGGTCATTATGTTAACTGAATGAGGCAGGCACAGGACTACAGTACATGGTCCCATTCACCTGTAGAACCTAAAACAACTGATCTCTTGGAAGTGTGCATAGAATGGTGGATCCCATAGGCCAGGGACAGCAGTGCTGAAGGGAAGAAGAAGAAGAGTGATCAATCAGTAAGTACTGTTACAGTTGGATAACAGCTAGAAGTCCCTGTGTGCTAATGCACGGTAGGGCGAATATTTCACAAGAATAGGTAGAAGAAAGGATCTGAGTATTTTTTATCATAAAGAAATGATCAATATGAGTTGGGTGCTGGTAGCTGACATCTGTAATCCCAGCTACTCAGGGGTTGATATCTGAGGATAAAAGTTCAAGCCAAAGACTCTGAGAGACTCATCTCCAATTAACCACCAAAACTCCAGAAATGGAGGTATGGCTCAAGCAGTAGAACACTAATCTTAAATGGATGAGGAAAGGTAAGGAACAGCACAAGACCCTGAGTTCAAGCTACAGTACTGGCACAAAAAAAGGAAAGGAAAGAGAAAAAGAAAAGGGAAAGGAAAGAAAAATATAAGAAGGTAAATATAACTAGCCTACTTTAAACATCATGTTATGTATATACATATAGAGACATCATCCTGTACCCCATAAACACATACAATTTTGATGTTTTATGTATCAATTCAAAGATGAAAATTTTAATTTAAATCTTAAAAATCTGTCCTAAGATTTTCACACACACACAGAATAAGTATTCTAAATGTTGAGGTGATAAAGTCTGCAGTAAACAAAACTCATTTTAGCTCTTCAAAAATGAAGAAAAAAGCAGAGCATTATGCAGAAGGATGACAAGCAATCCAGGGAAAGGCACCCAAGGCCTGCTGTCATCCTCACACTGCCCGCTGTACCCCCTCCACCGCCCCCACCTTCCCCAGCCATCCACAGGGGCTCTGCATTTCTTTACAGAAGCAACCCATCCACTCAGCATCCATGTAGATAGCATATAATAACGTCCTGCAGAAAATCGTCACCTCTGTCCAATTTCTCCCCCTCTGAAGTTTGTTCTTCCATATGCCAACTTTCGACCTCATCAGACAAATGAAGAATGGTGTCACCTGGTCCAAAATTCAATTTCTACTCCCCTTACTGTGATTTAGCAATTACAACAGAAATTTCCAGGCAAAGGACATGCCTATGATTTCAAGGATGCAATTCTCTACTTCTCCTCACCACCCCACCCCTTCCACCATCCTGGCCTCCCCCTATCTCTGGGCTGAGAGAAGCCTTTTAGTTTGGAGGCACTGCTATCCAGTAAGTCTTCTTCAGCCACATTACTTAATCATTCCAGAGACTGGCTTTGACTGCAAATCTGCTCCTGTTCACCCCTTCGGGGTCCCATTTGCTTGATCTTCACCCTTCAGGCTAATGAAGCAGTTGAGGACCTTGTAGGATACCAGTTGCTAGGATACAGAGAAAAGCCTCAAGACAGAGGACCACAGAGCTGACATTTAAGGAGGAATGTCAAAAATACCCTAAAACAAAATCTGATTTCCCCAAAGAACCAGGAAGGGGAAAAAGGCAGAGAGGTGAGTGTGTAGAAGAAGGAAAAAGGAAATGAGGTCAACTCTTGTAAATACTTTTCCTATAACTAACACTGGACCTTTTGGGGACAAGATCTTCACATCATAGTCTATCTATCAGTGGAAGGAAATGTGGTTTGACTTATTTCCTAATTTTTCTTTCACCCTCTCCATTAGATTTTGTTCTCAGTTGTCCATCTCTTTTAATGGTTTTACTGTATAGAGCTCTGAAAAATCCTGTGCTCAATTCTAAAAAGAAAAAAGAAAGAACGAGACAGGTATTAAACGCTATCTGTTAACCACCCATTATGGTCTGTGAACCCAGAACAGGAATGTGCTTGCTCCCCAATGAATGGATGATCTCTCTCACTCTGTAACAAGATCAAGTTCAGAATGAAGGGACGGAAGGGGAAGGCAGCTCCCAGGAGTCCAGGAATGGACCAGCATCTCACAAGGCTGACCCAAAGACCATCAGGAGACTGTCCCCTTCTGGGTTTTGATCACATACTTCTGAAGGCAGAGAAATGTTTTTCTGGAGACAAACCAGTTTCCCTTAAAGGAACATGCATATTCATATGTCTTCTACAGCTAAAAAGACAGAACCACCTACTAATTACTCCCTTAGCCAACCTCGCATGACAGGACTGAATAACTATCACCCCTTGTGCTTGGTGCTTAGGTCCATGATCCAAAAGCCAAAACAGAACCTGATTGACGTCCAGATTCCACCTACATTAAAAGATGTATTGACTCAATTTTTTTTGAAGTGACATGAGGTAATTATTTAGATTTGAGTCTTGGCCTTGGATCTAGCCAGTGGCTGGG